TTAAATGTATAATACATATACAAAACTAGACTCATTATTTTTAAAATAATGCAAGTATTTTCAAAAGAATATGGTGTATTGTACATATATACATATTAAAATAAGATTTAAAAAAATTAAAAAAAAATTTATTGACGAATGGTGAAAATGAATGTCTTGAATGATTGCCTCCGTTCTATTGTGAATGCTGAAAGGTTGTAGTTGTTGTCCTAACATATTTAAGATAAGGAAGAAAACAAGTGTTGATTAGACCTACATCAAAATTGGTTGTGAAGTTCTTATAAGTTATGCAAAGACATGGGTACATTGGTGAATTCGAAATTGTTGATGATCATAGAAGTGGCAAGATTGTTGTTGAATTATTGGGTAATAAATGACACAAAATGTTAGGACGCATCAATAAATGTGGTGTGATCTCACCTAGATATGATGTTACATTAGGAGAATTCGAAAGATGGGCTAATAACATTCTCCCAGCCAGATAATTTGGTTGTGTTGTACTCACCACTAATGTTGGAATATTAACCCATGAAGAAGCTAGACAAAGACACATTGGAGGCAAAATCCTTGGTTTCTTCTATTGATATCATTAATAAACATAGTACAATAATATTTATATTTATATATGTCAAGTGCTCTATCTCTAGCAGGTTAAAAATGGAAAGAGTTTTGGGGAATATCCAAAACATAAAACATACAATTAGAAGATAAGAAAAAGTAAATAAATGAAGCAGATTAATATATCAGATTAGCAGGAAGAGCTATCTAAGGAATTGTATTTTAACATTAATGTACAATTATATCAAATTAAATAAAGAAATGCAATTGTTATATGGATTGTTAAGTTAAGTCCTAAAAAAACTTGATGAATTAGAAAAGTCATAAGAAGGTTTGTTATTAGCAAAAACATTTGATTCTTTATCTTCTTTACATTCATCAAAAATTGAGAGTATTCACAAAGCAAATGATAGTTTTTAAGAATGGTTTGATACTATTGAATAACTAAGATAGATGCTTGATAAGTATTAAGAGAATAGGTTAGTTTATGATCACTATAGATTAAAAGTAGATTAACTGAAAAATTCTAAAGATTAATAAAGGTTTCAAAGAGTAATTCTTTATTAAGTAATCTTAGAATGAGAAAAAGTATAATAATGCGAATACATAATTTTAAGGCATCAGTAATTAGATTATTTAGAAAATGGATTAGATTTTGAACAATAAAAGAAATATGTTCAATAAAGCTTATTAAATAGTTATATAAAATGAAACAGAAATATATTATCAAGCTTATAAAAAATTAATAAAACATGAAGATTTCAAACCTAAATTTGGATATGATAATTAAAAATAATAAATTGATATTGATGATACCAAATAAAAATAATAAAATGATATAAATAATATTGAATGCAAATCAGATGAAAATATTAGCATTAAAGATATACCAGCATAAGGATAAGATTGGAATCCATTTGAATAAAATAATAAAAGTCCTTATGAAGATTAATTAGCTCAATCTTAAATTGTTTAATCTTATTTTTCTTAAGGAGCATAAGAATCAGTTAATCCATTTGAATCAGGAGATGTAGCTAGTTTTCCATCAATTTATATGCCAGATTAGAAATATCAATCTAATTATAAAATGGATTATGAGAAATTTAAGCAATCAACGAAGCAGCCTTTAGAATGATTATAATTTTAATGTGTGTGTTTTTATCATTATTTCCCCTTTCTATTTTGAACTGGAACTTAATTACTGACAGCATGTTCTTCAATAAGGGATTCTCCAACATATTCATTTACTCTCTTTTTCAAATATTCATTAACTGTAGCTATCTTTTCTCTATAAATTAGAAGAGATTCTTCTAATAACTAGTTTTCTTCATGTCTTTTTTCTTTTTCAGAATTATATAATTTCTTTTTATAATTGTATTCCTCTATTATTTAATTATATTTGAATATTACCTTAAGTCAAACTCAAAATTCTCATACTTTAATCTTAAAGTTCTTTTTTTTTTGTCAAAATATCTGATGCTAATTCTTTATCATTTTATAAGGAATTCAAAAATTTAGCTTTAGCATCATATTCTTACTTTAAAGATTCTTATTCAGCCAATAAATTAGTTTTAAAATCAGCAAAATCATTAGCTGATTATATTTCTTATTCTTCTAGACCTTTGATAGTTTCTCTTAATTTCTCAATTAATTATTAAATAATTCCTACAACATCTTTTTCTACTAATGATGCTATTTATTCACCGTTTCCATGTTATCCTAAAATTAAAATATATATTCTACTTGTCTATGCAAATGAAGCTTCTTCTTCACCTAATTTTACAAAATCTTATACAGCTTATTCCTCAAATAGATTAGCATACTTGCTCAATTTTTCTGCATAATCTCCAATATGGTTCTTTTCTATTAATGTACTTTATTTGCTTTATGCATCACTTCTTACCCAATCAAGTACAGAAAGTGCATTCTTGTATTCTCTTAATGTATCAATAAATAAGGCATTGGCTTCACATCTTTATTCAGCTAAATTTTCAAGTTTAACTTCATTTGCCTTGAATCTTTTATTATTCCAATTCAAATAATCTGTTGTTTATTAGATTTTAAGGCTTTATGTTTAAAATATAAATAATTACTCGACAGCTTCTAAATCTTATTGAGCAGCAGCAGCACTTTTAGAATTCACATTTACAATTCCTGAGAACTCATTAATATCTTACAAAATGGCTTGTTCAAATCTTTAAAATGTAAGATCAGCTTTATCTTAAGCTTCAACATTTGCTCCTTAAAGATCTTCTAATAAAATAAGAACTGATTGGATAGCATCTTATGAACTCATAACATTTGTTTTAGAACTAAGTAAATTCAAAAAATCTGTATTGATCTTCTTTGGGCTACAAAAAACACTCTGACTTAATAGCAAAATGACTAATATTCCTGAAATACTTTTCATTCTTTTGTTCAATAATAAAAATATTTATTTAAATACCGTTTTTATACATTAATATAATCTAACATTTGTTTCTTTTTATGCATAACAATTTATCAATTCATATAAATTAAAGGAGTTCATTGACTAATCAATACAAATTTAATAAAAAAAGATGATTAAAACTATGAAAAACATAAGAACTATTCAATTTTATGTTATTTTTTTTGTTTTAGATTATAAATATTTTTATTATAAACTATTTTTTTAATTTTAATAGTATAATAAAAAACATCTTTATTAAAGGATAATTATAAAGATTTTGTTAATTTACAATCAAAGTAGATTATACATTTTTCAATATAGATGTTTTGATTATAGAATATCTAATCAATTTTTAATTTCTGAATTTATCTAACTTTTTTATTGAATTTATATATGTATATATATTACATTACAATTATTAGGTTGCATATAGAGAATCATCAAGAATAATAATAATATAAATAATTTATATAATAATTTTAATTAATTAATACACGTAAGATGGTAATTATCTCAGCAGCAATATGTGATAAGAATGGAATACTATTTATAGGTAGATAATTTTAAGGAATCACAACAAATGAATTAAAGGAAGTAAAGAAACTTAAAAATATATTTAGCAAGTTCGTAATTTTCCTAAATTAATTTCTCCAACTTAATAACATACATTCATTGATCATGAAAATTTAAGATATATATATACTCCCATTGATAACATTTATATAGTGTTGATTACTTCAAAAAATAGCAATATAATTGAGGATTTAGAAGTATTAAGAATTTTGAAGAATGTTCTCTCTGATATCTGTTAATAAGGTATAATAAATACTTAAAAATAGTTAATGAAGAGTCAATTAAAAAGAATAGTTTTGAAATACTTTTAGCCATTGATGATATAATTTCAGCTGGATTAAGAGAAAGCACAACAACAAGTTAAGTATAAACAGCTTTAGAGATGGAAAGTTCAGAAGAGAAAATTCATTTAATGTTAACTAAAGCAAGAGTAATTAAAAATTTATAATTATTATTTTAGGAAAATGAAGCAAAAGAATAGGCTAAAAAACATTAAATGGAAATGGAAAGAAAAAGATAAGAAGAATTAGCTTAGAAAAAGAATTAAAAGTAATCTAAAGCTATTGATAATGCATTCAAATTACCATAAAATGAAGGTATTTATATAGTAGTGAATTTAGAAAAGGTAAATCCCATACCTAAAACTGAAGTAATAAACGAAAATTTAAGCACACAATCCTAAGTATTGCAAAAATCAAATGTGAAATCTGCTCCTAAGAAAGGAATGTAATTAACAAAAAAGAAAGAAGCAACCTCATTTGAATGAATTTAATATTAGTAATGCAAATAGCTATAATCATTTATAATTCATATATTTTATAAGGATTGATTGTACCATTCCAATTTAAATATAGCAACATAGGAATATTACTCAGTATAATATTTTATATCATCCAAAATTCATTATTAATTCATAATTTAAGATTACATTAAAAATAATGGTTATAAAAATAAAGTTATGTAATATTATAACCAAATTTTTTCGTCTATTAAACAATTATTTTATTCCATACCGATCAGAACCATTTAAAAGATCTTATATTGATGATTTTGATGAGTATAAGGCATTAAATAAAGAGTTTTGAATAATATAAAAATAATAAAATCAATTACATTTAAAAATGAATTAATTGTGAAAGTTATAATAATATAATAGTACTTAGAATTATAATTTCAGGAGTAGTATGAATAATTACCTTATTATATAAATTAAACAAGGGAAATGATAAATGTCTTTTTGAAAAATAAATTTTTATTTATAAATTATATAAACCCATAAATTATCAACAAAATAAATATATAATTAGTATTTAATAGAGATAAATTGATTGAATTTTTAAAACCTTTAGAAAAGGATGTTATATATGAAGATTGAAAACATTAAATAAAAGTAAGTATAATTTTTTTTGTTTTTAATTTATAAAATTTTTTATATTAAATGGCTTATTTTGGAAATAATCCATAGCGTGGAGAATTGCAAGAGCTTTATGCGGATTTAAATGACTTAAATTTTGAAAAGAAGAAAGAAGTAAGGATTAATTACAATAATGTAGGCTGTAAAGAAAGTTATAGCTTATATGACTGTGGGTAAAGACGTATCAGATCTCTTTCAGTCAGTTATTAAGTGTTTAGAATTTAACGACATAGAGATGAAAAAACTTGTATTTTGAAAATAATTATTCGATAGATTTATCTATATATTGTTAACTACTCCAGATAAAAACCTGATGATGCCATTATGGTGATATAAAATTTTAGAAAAGATGTGAGAAAGTCAGAGAATCCTTTAGTAAGAGCACTTGCTATAAGAACCTTTGGGTGTTTACGTGTTCCTAAACTTAATGAATATTTAATTGAGCCTTTAAAAGATTGTATAACAGATGAAGATCCTTATGTACGTAAGACTGCTGTTTTATGTGTTCCAAAAGTAATTGGTGATTTGATTTCTTTAGGTTTATGAAGTTTCACCTGAATTATGTCCTCCACTATTGGAATTATTATAGAAATTATTGGAGAAGGAATCAAATGCATTAGTTTTGGCTAATTTGATTTAATCAATGAGAGAAATTGAGATTGTAAGTGGCAAATAAATTATCAATTTGAATTAGAAGATCATTTAAAAGTTATTATTAGCAGTTGATGAATGTATAGAGTGGGGATAAATATTTATTTTGGATTATTTAGCCACTTATAATCCATAAGATTCAAAATAAGCTGAAATTATTATTGAAAGAACACTTCCAAGATTAAGTCACATAAATCCAACTGTTACATTTTGTGCTGTTAAGGTTATACTCAAATATTTGGATTTCTTAGAAAATGGAGATCTAGTTAAAAATCTATGTAAGAAAGTAGCACCATCTTTAATTTCTTTATTATCTTGGAATCAACCAGAAGTTTAATACACAATTCTCAGAAATATCTCTTTGATTTTGCAGAAATTCCCAATCTTATTTGAAAATGAAATTAAAGTATTTTTTTGTTCATTTAATGAACCCTACTATATTAAATATGAGAAATTAGATATTATGATTAGAATTTGTGATTCTAAAAACTTTGGATAAGTTTTAAATGAATTTCTCATTTATTTAAATGAAGCTGATCCTCATTTTGTTAGAAAAACTATTAAATCTATAGGGAAAATTGCTATCACTTATGATAAAGCCATAGATAAGTAAAATTAAAATTTTTAATTCATAGAGCAGTATCTATTTTAATTGAATTTGCTAAAAATGTTCAATAACCAACAGAACCAGTTTAAGAATTACTTATTTAAATGCAGCTTATTTATAAGAAAAATAAATAAATGTATAAACATGAAGATAGTCTAAAAATCATATATTCAATTATTGATTATGCAAATGAGCCAGAATCAAAAGTAATTATGTTTATTTATAATATATAGAGTGCATGTGCTTGGATTATAGGTGAATTTGGTGAATTTATTCCAAAATCAGTTGAAAAAATGAAAGAATATATTGATAATTTCTAAATGGAAGACAGATTAGTCTAACTTTAATTACTAACTTCAGCAGTCTAATTATATCTCAAATATCCATCATAGTGTTCTGTTTTAATATAATAATTGATTACTTCAGCCAAAGATTCATTTAATCCTGATGTTAGAGATAGAACATATATTTATTGGAGATTATTATCAACAGATCCAGAAATTGTTAAAAATTTAGTTTGCTTTAATAGTGGAGTCTTCTAGAATTTCTCAAAAGACTTACGCTTATGGGATACTAAAGATTTAGTTATAGCTTTAGAAAATATGGGAAGCATCAGTAATCTATTTCATAAATTACCACATTAATTATATAAGAACATCAAGATCAAAATTAAGTATGTATTTATTCAAATTTCAAAGCAATTAACAAGACATTAAAATCTATAAAGGTGAAGAGAAACAAGAGACTTAAACATAAGTATAATAAAATGAAAATAATAAAAAGGATTAATAATAATAATAATAATAATAATAATAATAATAATAATAATAATAATAATAATAATAATAATAATAATAATAATAAGATATTGATTTGTTAAGTTTTGATGATCCTCCTGTTAATAATAATAATAATAATAATAATAATATTAATAATAAGACAGATTTATTTGAGCTTATTTGAACATCTATTAATATAAATTGTCATTCATAAAGACTTATAGTCTTAGTTATTGAAATTAATCAATAATAAAAATATAAAAAAAATCAATTCTCTTCTTCTTCTGGCATTAGCCTATCAACATTAAATTTCTATTTAAGCTCTATCTCTATTGTAGTTGCTTAACTAGTAAGTTTATCTATTTCTTGTTGAATCTAATCAGCTTCCTCATATTATTCTTTCTCTAATTAATAATAACAATTACTTGAGCATGATCTGATACCTATTCTTCTAGTTATTTCATTTATTATTGAAGATCCCAATATAATTATTTTTAATGCTCTATGTAGTTTTATCTTTATTCTTCACTCATTTCAATAACATTTTCTTATTATTATTATAATTACTCTTTCTCATTCAAATCTATAACTTATTCTATTTAATTATTTTCTACTTTATTATATTATTCTTATGGATTTTCATTTGTATTAATTTCTTCTTCTTAATCTTGAATCTTATCTATAATATCATTGGAAACTTTTCGTTTTGCATAAATTAAATCTTAATATTTATTTAACAATTACCCTATTTCATTCTTTATCTAGATTTAATTATATTAATAATAATACATCTTATTCTAATTAAGATAATCCAAAATAATCGATATATGAAATCTCTTATAATTTTAATTCCAAAACAAAATATCTGCAGATTTCTGCATTTTATTATAATTATTGATATTGATGTTTTTTAGTCAAGAATGAATCTTCTATTTCATTAATTTCTTTTAGGATTTATGTTTCAATATTTTGATTTTCTAATATTTTTTCTTCATATAAAGTAATCTATTTTTAAGCATCTTTAATTTACTCATTAATTTGAGCAGCACCTTTAAAATTTTTATTTTAAACTAACTGAGCTTTGTCATCAATCATCTTAGGCAATTTCTTTTAAAGTTCACTTTTTTTATTAAGAATTTCATTTAATTATGTTTATCCCAAATTCTTTTTGTAATTTAATTCATCAACCTATCTTTATACATATGCTAATTCTTTTAATGCTTCATTGCTGGCTTTTTTAGCCTCTTAGTATTTTAAGGTAACATCAAATTCTTATTAACATTATTCAGGTACCATATTGGCTTTTCGAATAAGTTCATTTCTTTTAACTTTAATGTCTTCCAATTATTATTATAAATATTCAAGTTTATTCTTATATTCATTTTATTATCTAAGATTATCTCCTTCAAGAATTTCAATCTATGCTCTTTCACTTGCTAAACTATTGAGTTCATCATTAAGTTTTGTTCTCTTATTTTATACTTTAATTAGTTATAAATTGAATTTTTATTGAACTTATTAAATTTTATCTTTAGTTTAAATTAGATCATAATTCACCTTTTATAATTCATTTTTTTTTTGATTTATTAACTATAACAATTCAGCAATTTCAGATTCTAAAGTTGATTTTTTATTAATTAATTATTCTTACTCAATTCTATAATCTTTAGTTTGATTATCCATAATTTGATTCAAATGTTGTTCCTCTTCTGACAAATGTTTATTATCAATTTCAGTGTGAATTTATTAGATCTTCACTCTCTCATTTTCTTCTTCTATATATTATTGTAATTTCTTAATTTAGGCTTAACCTTCAAACCTATATTAATCACTATACTTCATATGTAATCGTTCTATTTCTTCCAATTTTTATTCAATTTCTTAATAAAATTGATATTCTTGTCCTCTTATATTATCTTTCTCATCCTATAATTTATTATATTGTTGTTCTTTTTATTTAATTTAATTATCAACTTAAGTAATTGTTTCTTAAATTTATTTTAATGATTATTCTATTTCCTCTGCTTTCTCAAATTATTCCTATTGTACACAAACCTATTACTCTATAGATAATTGACTAAGAAAACTATTATATTCTTATAGTTTTTATTAAAAAGAAATGATATTTTTTTCAATTTCCTATTAAGAAATGTAAATATGAGCTTTCTTTTAATTAACTTCATTTTAAAAGTATTCCAATTCTTCCATAATCATTTAATGTTTTTTCAAATAAGAATTATCTAATTGAGAATTAATATGATTTTGATTTATTTGGTTTTTATTAATATAATTATTTTGTATTTATGAAGAATTTGACATTGTAGATTAAAAGAATATTTATTATTATTATTATTAACTTTATTATTATGCTTACCATTATGATTACGATTATTATTCAATTTCCTTATCATTATTTTTAATTGAATTCTATAATTATACACTTTAATCATCATTAATAGTTTGTTATTTAGCTTATTGACTAGAGTAATTCTATTAAAAAGAGTACTCTTAAGTTTAATCCTATATTTTATTTCCTTCTTATGTTTAATTTTAATCAATTTAAACTTCATAAATTATCTAACTTTCCACTTATTCTTACTATAATTCATCTGTAGGAACAGGTTATTCAGTTTATTTTTTTTTTAAGAAACTGAAGCCAGTTGGTTTCTTTTTGACCTCTTCAACATTAATTTTAACCTCTATTTTCTATTCGACATTAATATCTTCTTATGGAGTTGGTGTTTCCATTTAATTGAATTACTATTTATAAGCATCACTTTCTGGTTATAGGATATCGGAATTAGATTAAGCTTAATTTACCTATGTTTGAGGTTAGGGTTATTATTATTATTATTACACTTCTTAAGTTTGAGGAGGTGGTGCCTTTACTTTAAGACTTCCTTTGAACATTGATCCTTTTGGAGCTGGTTGCTATTGAGGAACAACTTGAGGCTACTATACAACTTATTATTGTTATTAAATAGGTGGAGGAGGTGCTGTTTACTATTAAGTCTGCTCTTTCTTTTTAAAAATTGAGAACATTTTTTATTAATAATCGAATTATTAAGATCAAATTGATCTGTAATAATAATAAAGAAAAATACATTTATAATAGGAATTCATACATGAAAATTACTTAAGAAAAATAATAATAAGAATATAAGTATTTGTATTAACAAAAATAATTAGAATTCAAATATTTTTAGTGATAATAGAATAAGAAAAAAGATAGTTCATGCAAAACTTCAATATAATCTGATATATTCAATGAACTTGATGATTTAAACCCTTAAATTTACAATCCTGTAAAGAAGATACAAAAAAAAAGAGGATATCTTTATTTATTTAGAAAATGTATAAGCCTCTTATACAATGTACTATGACTATAACAGTATTCTCTCCAAACGGATGTTAGATAACTATTATTATAAATAGAACCAACTTAAAATTAGCAATTTTCTGATTATTTAATTTATTAACTGAATGGACTCTCTTTTTGAAACCAACCTTCCCTTTAGTACGATACCTATTCAATAATATGGTCTAAATTAATTGATTCACTACTCCAGAAACCAATCTCTCCAAAAATCTGATTTTTCACCTTAATAAATGTTATTGGATTTAGGTGAGATGTGCAATGTAAGATATCTCCTCATTGAAAATCTAAAATATGGATGTGAAATCTCAGTGTTTGTAAGTGAATTCAAAAATGGTCCTTTTATATCAGTTCATAATAAAGAATTTTTTCCTTAGCATAAATAAAGAAGAATTAAATTAGCAGCACTTCCCTGCAGATATATCAGAATCCTAATCCATAAAGGAGTGCACATCTAAACAAATTAAATCAAATTGATTGGTTCCACAAATGAAAGGCTAGCAGAAGAGGGATACTTTAATGATTTTAAATTATTAGTAACAAATCCATCTAGAATTATGTATTGATTTTTTTTTATGTTTATTTTATTTTATTATTTAAACTTCTTTATTCTATCGATAAGCTGATACTCAGAAACTTTGAAGATAATACTATAATATATTATATTATAAAATTTATATTATTTATTTGTTATAAAATGAAATCTCAAAATTACATTAAACTTATTAATTTTATACCAATTTTTCTAAGCCTAGCAAAAATGTCAAAGTAAAAATTCAACATTTTTTAAATATATATCAAATAATATATTCTAATATGGATAGATAATCTTTTCATAATGATAATTGAGATTATTTTAAAACATAGAAATAACTATCCTTATCTTATATACTGAAAAGTCAGAAATTAATTTATATTCATATTTTCTAATTAAAAAGCCTAAAGAATAATAGAAAATAAAATTACCAAATTTAATATTTATTTTCTTAATAATTTAATGATCACTTAAGATATTCACCATTTACAACAAATTAAGGTTTAAGATGATAAACAAGTATATAATAAAATAATAAATTAGCAGTAATAATCTCCATAAATAGTGGCAATTAATTTTAATCTTCATGATTAATACTAACCTGAAATAATGTATATAATATAATATTATTTGTTCAAGAAACAATACATATATTATTTAAGCCTTTTTTAAAATGATTATTTAAAAAAAGAAATATTAGATTTTGAGAGCACAGGCAATAAAAAGAAGAAAAGCATTTGAAGAACTAATTTAAACTGAAGAGTCTTATATGACTGATATGACAATAATTATTGAAAAAGTACTTAAAATAGTTGAAGAACGATAGATTTTACCCTAAAATCAAATATAAAAAGCCTTTAGTAATATAAAATAAATATACGATTTAAACAAAGCATTTCTCAAAGATTTATAAGGTATACATAATTTTTCTATAATTAGACAAATTAGAAATCTATAGAGACAACGCATGTATTAGTCATTTATTTTAAAAGTATATCCCTTTTTTTAAGATATATTTTTAATATTTATAAGAGTTTAAGATAGATTAAATTATAATATTAAGAAGTGAATACTAAGATTTTGATGAATTTTTGAATTTTTTGGAAGAATCATTTATTTTTAAAGGAGGAGATCTTAATTCGTTTTTAATCAAACCGGTACAAAGATTACCTAGATATTCTTTATTGTTAACAAGCATTTTAAAGTACACATGGAAGGATCATCCTGATTATAGTGATTTAAAGTAAACTTTAAATTCCTTTGCTTTGCTTACATAAGATATTGATTCACGAATTACTAAGTAATCATATTAATCATATAAATTATTTTAGTATTCTTAAAAATTAAGTCCTTTTTGAATTGTAGTATAAATGTTTTAATCTAATTAACGTGCAAATTGTGGAATCCACAAGAAAATTTATATTGAAAGAGAGCTTAAATAAAGATATTAATTTTTATTTATTTAATGATCTATTTGTAATTACATAAATGAATGAATAAACATTAAATAAAGAGAAATTGATAATATATAGTTTTTTTACTAAAGATACTCATATTCTAATTAATGAAAAAAATAGTTGTTCATTAGCTATATTAGGAGTATAAGTGCCTCTTATTATGTTAAAATGCAAAGATGATGAATAAAAATTAAGAATAAAATAACAATTTGATTCAACAATCGCCGACCTTAAGAATAATCAATCCATACAATAGTCTTTACCAAGATAAATATTTTAAAATTATCATCCTATTTTAGTAGAAATACTATCCATAACCAGAGGATAGGAACTTTTGAAAACATATGCATAGTACAATATAAGTGTAATTGAATATATTTTAATAATTAGATTAGAGATTAATTCTACATTTATAAAACGTAAACTAGGCATAAATTTCTATTGAAAATGGAGAAAATGCTTAAAATTGAGTATAAACAATTATCAGAATCACATTTACAACCTAATTTAATAATTTAAAATTGGATTGAGGATAGATTAAATAAAGAATCAAATGAAGAAAGAAAAGTTATTGTTAAAGACTTTTTAGAGACATTGTTAAATTCTCACTTAGTAAAATCTAATCCTGAATACTTTCTTCGAAAACTTAGATTACCTCTTAATTTCTACAATAGATAACCACCAATATAGAAAATTAGAAATAAATTACAGTAAGCAGAAGGGCTTAAATGGAATAAATTAATTTGATTTATTATATTTTGTTTTTTCTTTCCAGACAGGGAAGAATAATAATAATAATTAATATAGAAATAATAAAAATGAATTTATATTAATATATTGATTTAAATAATTTTTATCTTAATTTTAGAAATAAAATTTTAATGGTTGCAACTTGATTTTTTGAGGAATACAATAATGATTATTAGATTATGATAAATACATAATATTGTTTACAAAATCACAATCATTAATTGCTTTTGTTCTACATGAATGACAATTAAAGTTCTAAATTGCCTTAAGCAATAGATCTTTAATATTCGGATGACATAAATTCACATTATTATCTGTGATAATTGGTTGTATGATGACAATTCTATTGTTGGAAATATTGAGTAGCAAAATGATGAAACTTAGATAATGATTAAAAAATTACTTTAATTTCCAATGATTAATCCAAACAATGAGATTCATTTATAATGAAATGCTCATAATAAATCTCATCTTTTGTGTTCATGAAAAGTGTCATAGCACATCTTTTTTAAGCTTCTGAAAATATATTCTTTTCAATTTGACTATAGACTTATTCAAGTTCTTCATAATCTTAAGTATGTTGTGCATATTCGCATAGGCCTTCTAGGTATTAATCACTTAAAGTTCCTTTAAAAGATTTAACAATCTATTATAGAAATAAATAAATATACATCCAAATATTTTTTAAGGTAAGCTATGTTTTCAGAATCAAATTACCAAATTTCATAAAAGTGATTGGCAGCTTTTTCTAGAAGACATAATCTTAACGAAGAATATTTTATTTAATTTCTGTTATTTTACTTTTTCATTACTAAAATATTAAACATCTATCATACCTTTATTTATTAGTTAGAGCTACTAATCTACTAGTTAAATAGTTTATTCCATTATTTAGAAGTACTCTGTTTCTGATTGTGGCTTTAAACTTTAACACTTCTACTCAAGCATTTGAAGAATTTCATTATTGTTTTTTATCTGCATTTCTTATGAGTGAGTTTGATTGAGACACTAATTTTTATTTATAGAGGAAGCTAAGAATGAAGTTTATTGAAGTAGTGTCTCTTTGCAAGTATTGAGCTTCAATAGTATATTCTTCAGACTTAGTATTTAAACAAACTTAACCATTATTATATGATTGTATATCAATTAATTTTCAAAAATAAATATATGAGAATGTTACAAAGTTAATTTTTCTCTTTAAATATATAAATAGTTAATAGTTAATTACTCATATCATTCTATAAATGATGCATTAAATAATTATTAATAATAATAAAATATTATTTATTGTAAAAAAATAATAACTCATTTTTATATTATTAATAATACTAATTTTATATTTTGCTTTTGTGTTTAAATTATAAAATTGATTAAATCTAATAGAGAATAAACAATCAAAAATTCTGATTCATTTCTTCAATAGATGAATAATTCAAAGAATTAGTAATTGAATTTATTAATACTCAGAAATGAACTGAAATAGCTATTATGGTTTTTAGAAATTACAATAATACTCTACATAGCGTTTCTGAATTATAATATCAAAAAAAATCATAAATTGTGAATAGCATATATTTAAATCTTAAGTATTTTTGAGAAGACTGAATTATAGAATAAAGTTTGTAAATGATTAGATAAAAATTTAACAAAGGCAGTAAGTAAGTGCAAATTATAAGAAAACGTAAGCTATTTGGATTTGAAAGACCAAAATTAAAAGAATTTTACTTGTTACAATTAATTTATTGTAATATCTTAGGTTATTATTTACTTTTTTTTGTTATTAAATGATAAATTTTATATAAAGTATTAAATTACTTAATTTTTAAAGAGTTTTTTTAACAGCCATTAGAATAAATACAAATAAAATGCTTAAAAATTTTCAAAATAATGAAAAGAATAATTTATGAATTTGAATATATTTTTA